CCACAGGGAAATGCAGAACCGGGCTTGGAGGTGCTGTAGTTTTATAGCTCATCACCGCCACCCTCGCCCAGGGGCAGTCTGTTATCAATTCATTATATGGGAATATTCTGTTTCTCCCCTGCACATATGCTCCGTTCAAACAATGATGAATGGGCCCGATTCCCTTATGGGAAACAGTTTTTTCACTTAGTGACAAAGATTTCATGCCCGATTAAAGTAAATGAGGGCGGGTGTGTGTCCACTTCTCTTCTGGTCATTTCTAAAGGTGAGCCCTGTGGAGAGAGAAAGGCCGGGCTTCCCAGGGTCAAACAGCTGGTCCCAAGAGAGGGTGAGATGGTCAGAAGTGGACCCCCTCCCTTTCTCCTGGGGGTCCAATGCCTGGCATGGGGCATATGGAACTTCTTTATCTCGCTCCAGACTCTCCCATCTGGAACTGAGGGCAGAAATAGAGGCGAGAAAGTTCTTTGTTGGGGAGCAGGGTCCCTCCTGGGTGAGAGTGTAAAGAAAGGAGGGGGAGCTGAAAGGAAAGGCTTAGGCCTGAGCAGTGCAAAAGTGCCTGCTCTCTCAGCTGGTTAACCATTAACCCCTGGCCCTGGCCGGGCCACATCTCCTGCGTGGGTGAGGACATCCTCGGAAACCCAGAGGACTCGTGGTGCTCCCCGCGGCCCTCTCGCCCCAGCAGAATATCCACTCTGTCCCCCCTTGCCAGCTCCAGCCCCAGGCTCAGTCCGGGCCTTTTCTCCCCCTCTTCCCGGGCACCTTCCTCACACCCCCTGCCAGCTGGCCCTCCATCCTGGTATTGCCAGTTAGTTGTCTGCATGGTAGGGTACTGGCAGAGGCCAGGAGGCGGGCAGCACGCTGGCGAGAGTCGGGAGCTGGTTCCACGCTGGGCTCCAGAGCAGGAACCCCCAGCCCAGGTTCTAGACCACTTCACACATGAGTCAACCCAGGTGTCCCTGGGGGTGGGGCTGCGGAAGGCAGCTGACGCCCAAGTTCCATTCTCCTCGGTCTTCCTGGTGCTTCTCGCTGTGGGTCTGGCTTAGGGGTCCCTGTGTTGGCCTCTGAGATTAGGTCATTCGATCAGAGGCCTTGTCAGAGCGTCTCCAGCTCACCAGACCTGGTGTCCAGCAGGTGGACCAAAGATGCAGCAGCAGCCTGGGCGCACCACGCAAGACCCAAGGCCTGATATAGTCACAGATAGACGGAGAGAAGCAGGTGACAGAAAGGGACAGCGAAGACAGAGAGACTGACAGTGTGAATGGAGCAGAAAGAGCCGAGAGCTAAAGCAGGAAGCACATGGCAAAGACCCTTCCAGGCAGATGGGGGCTCCTTCCGATCTTCCCAGGGCGGGGGAGGCTCCTCTGGGTGAACTGGGAGGCTGAAGTAGCAGGTTATCGCCACTAGAGGGGGCTCTTGAAAACCAGGCTTGGCTCTACTAAACAGTGGTTTTTGTGCTTTTTTTTTCTTTTTTAAGACAAGAAAAAAATAGATGAGATATATTAGAAACTACCAGCTGTCACTACCCCGAGACCACAACTGGTAGAGTCCCATTGCCAGGGGGACCGCGGGGCCCTGTCTGGTTGCTGGGGACTGGAAAAGGCGCCTGCAGCATTAAGCAGGGCGCCCCAGGGTGGGGAGCAGCCAAGGGAGAGGCCTGCCCCGACAGGATGCCTGGGGGTGTGAGGCCCGGAGGAGGGCTGGGGGGGAGGGCTGCCTTCTCGAGTTAGCAGCACTCAGCCTGCCGGCTGGCCCGCCAAGAGGCCCTGCCTGTCTTTATCAGCAATAAAAGTTTTTGGCCCATCCCCAAGGCGCCTTCACATGCCTTCCCTCCTTCCAACTCCCTGCCTGCACGAGGACTTTCGAAACCCTCCCAGGTGGTGGCAAAACTGTTTCTGGGGAAACTGTTTTCAAAAGATCTTTCGGGAAAGGAAGGCCTGTCCAGGGCGCATCGCTGATTTAATCTCGGTCTTCATGTTCTCTGTGGGAGCCTTTCTCTGAATGATAATTCCCCCTTTCATTTCCGCGCAGGACAATGTGGAGAGGGCCTTTCTCATCGGGGAGATAATAACTGCCTGAGAGGGTGTGCAGAAATATGGACGCGGGGCGGGCAGGGGGCCAGAGTGTAGCATCTCCTCAGATCCGATACCAGCCCCTGATAGTTCATCTTGGTTTTCCTTTGGCGCACATTAACCTGGGGTCAAGGAGGGGAGGGGGCGGGGGGAGAGAGAAAAGAAAAACAAGATAAATGTATCGTGTTCTGAAAGTTTAATCCTGCTTTTCCTTGGCTGAAATTACTTTCGGTGTGCGAGATAAGGCGGTTGGAAAGTTCAGCGGTGTTAGAGAAGGAAGAGGGAGAGGGGTCCTGGGGCCCAGGGTGAATAGCCCGTCAATGAACCTCTCTCCTGTGCCCCCAACACCCGTGCTCTGATGGGCACCCCAGGGCTGCCTGCACTGTCCAGGAATGACACCCACAGGCTTCCTCCCTTTGTATTGAAACAGCCTCCCCCCTCCCTTTAGTTGGGAGATGGAGGGATGGAGGGCATGAACATCCCCTCCAACATGAACCCTCACATTGGAGCTGTACCCCACGCTGCCGGCCCTTGCAGTGAACAGCAGACACTGAAAGCAGGGACTGCCATCCATGTCCGTGAAACAGGCAGAAATTGACCACGTAGGCAGTGCTAGGCATGTCGCAGCACCCAGTACAGAAGGGAAATGTCGTAGGTCCTACCTTTAAGAAGCGGACAGTATCCTAGGGGGGAGGGAGACAGACGTAAGCCAAGTGTCCCCCCCCAAAGAACCTTAGCATAAGGCAGAACGTAGGCCACTGGGCACTGGGCCTCAGGAAGTGAAAGGGCAGAAGTTTCTGGAAGCCCTTGCTCTAGGCCATGCAAGGTGCCTTGGAGATGAGCCAGAAACAGCCAGCGCTGATAAGGAGAGGCCAGAAGAGAGACTCAGGTGCCTGAGGACTTCAGAGTGGCTGGCGGGGAATGACTAACCTCTCATTCCTCAGCCTCTAAGACCTGCCCCTGAGCATTCTTTCCCCTCCTTCTCCTCCACACACTTTAAAGGGAGGACACTGGGGTTGTTTTCTATTAGTCAGAGTCCTAGAGCAAGGTCTCCAGGCCCACTCCCTAGGGTTTCACATTGTATTCTATGTAAATCGCATCCCTTTCCGGTCCCCTGGAGCTGGCTGGGGCGGTCCTTCCGGACATGTTATTACTCATCTGTGCTCGCATATCAGGGTCCAGAATCCTGCTGCTACTCACCCGCTCTGATCCCAGTGAACTCACTGAATGGATCCCACCGGAGAGAAAATCCAGACTGTAGCCCCGCCCCTGGGCTGAACAGAGAGGCACTTCCCAGCCACCCCTGCCCCCTGCTCCCTGGAGAAGGAACCCCGAAGTTTCTGTAGAAAGAAGGCAGAGAAGGATGCGAGGGGGGAGGTTAGGGGGAAGGCCAGCTTCAGCACAGTTTACAAACTGTCTCTGATCTTAACCTGGAAGGTAGGGCTCCCTGACTCCTTGAAGTGTTCCAATCCAGTCTGAGGTCCGGGAGGCGCCTGGACCGGGATGCACAGAACCAGGGGCGTGCCTGGGCCTTCAGTCGCCTTTGTGACACCCTGACAAGTGAATGCTCTCTAGACATAGGCGGAGATCTCTGTATATTTCTGAAGGCTTTGTGACCCCAGTCAAAAGTGTAAAGAACCAGTACACTGCCTAGTATACCCCCTCTGTTGCTGGGTCCTGCTCTGGGGGTTGGACTGCGGCTTCGGATGAGGAACTGGGGCCCAGCCCCTCTCTCTCCTCCATCCACGGGAGTCGATGGATGACTCACTCAGAGTAAACAGGAGAAATCCAAGCCGGGCTCCGAATGCCAGGGGAAGCCAGGCCTTGGAATTGCTCTGCAACCCCGGGCAAGTCCTTGTCCCTCTCCGATGAGGAAGCAGGGCAGGGGTCACCTCCCTTCGAGGGAGAGAGGGTGGAAAGTTCTGGAGGAGAGGAAGGGCTGGGAAAGCTACCCGGCTTGCCCCGAAGGGCAGGAGAACAGGGGCAGACAAGTGGCAGGAGGGGATGTTGCTGCTTTGAAGCGCTTTCCTGCTTCATAAAAGCGGAGACCTCGCGGGGCTGGGTAAATATTACGTTGGCCTCTGACCTCCTACCTCCCCTGATTGCTGCCCCAGCTTCCCCGTACAGAGCCTGTTCTCTGAACTTGGGGTCCTCCACGGGATGGGGGGCCCAGCCCAAAGCAGACAGGACCTGGTGGTGGGCGGTGTTTTCCAGGAGTGAGGGGGTCAGGATGTCACAGTCCCCTGACAGACTGCCCCCCCCCCCTTGCCCCAGCTGCCTCGGCCATCCTGACAAGTCCCTGGACTCTCCGTGGAACTCAAACCACACCACTAGGGTTTCTGTTAGACAAACACCCCCCTGAGGTTCATCCGGAAATTAAGAAAATTCAAGTGCGCCGCCCACTGGGAGCGGCCCAGGACCCAGCTGTGAGAGGCTTAGGGAAAAGGATCCGACCAGCCTGCAAGGCTGGGAAGCCCTGCCCTCACCCCGGTGCTGGAGGTCGGGTCCCAACAGATGGCCAGGAAGAAGCTGGTGTCAGATAGGGTCCTAATGTGCCAGCACAAAGGGCCCAGCTTCACACCTGAGCTCCTCCTTCTTCCTGGAGGATTTCTCACCTCCCCACCATTTGCTCCCTGGTCCAGGGAGGGCGAGGAGACAGAGCCACATGCCACCCTGGGAGAGCTGGCCCCTGCCCGGTACCCAGCACCATAGCTTCTCCATTTGTGTGGTGGGAGTGACTGCTTTTCAGGTCTCCCCAGGTCCCTCAGTTGCCTCTGTGCCTGGCGCCAGGCAGAGCAAGATGGTTGGGGAGATTTGGGAAAAGGACAATTGTTGCAAGCGTGCAAAACTATCCCAAAATTGAGAGCAGGAACGAAGCCAAGCTAGGGACAAGTTCTCTTCTTTCTCTGAATTTGTTTGGGACTTTCTGAGAAAAAAAAAAAGGAGATTTTATTTAAAGAAGATCTGTGTGCTGGAGGTTGTTATATATAAAGATAGATAAAAGGCTGAAGACTCAGTGGAGACTGGAAACGGAGAGGGAGGCCACTGGTGCGTGGCTCCTGGTTAGCATTCGTTTTTAAATCCTCTCCTGAGAATATGTCTTTATTGATTTCTAGAGAGAGAGAGAAAGGGAGAGAGAACATCCATCAGTAGCCTCCAATATGTGGCCCGACGGGAGAGCAAACCCACCATCTTTTCGGTGTAAGGGATGTCGCTCCAACCAACTGAGCCAGCTGCCCAGGGCTCGTGGTGAGCATTGAACCTGTGGGACTGGAATTTGAATTCTGAATTTGCTATCCTCTCACCTTTGGTGCCTTCAGGTCTAAGAGGAGGGTGAACGAGACGGTCAGAGAATTGGTCAGGTGGCATTTTTCCTGGGAGTCAACCTCCCACGGCAGGGGACGGGGCAGCCCTCGCGGGCCTCTGCCTGCCTGCAATGGGCTTCCGTCTCTCGGCAGACAGAGCTCCTTGGAGTGCGGGCATGAAGGGGGCAGACATGGCATAAAAGACATTAGCAGGCGCTGCGTCCCAGAGCCCAAGCGGGACCCTGGGACACAGGGATGAGATCCTCAGCCGGCTCCCATCATTGGTCAGAATGTAGCAGGAGGTTTGGGGGACACATCGGCTGTCTTCTAGCCCAAGGAGCTGCCCACTGCCCTCCCAGCTGATGCACAAGGGTCCGTCCCTTATTGGACGTGCAGGGCGTGGGAAGGCGGCTCTCAGAGGAGCGAGTCCTATGCATTCAGAGCAGTGCCCAAGAGCCAGCTGTGGGAAATGAGTGTGAGGTGCCTTCATTTTCTTTTCTAACATATTATTTTAAAAAACATTCGAACTACAAAGGAAATAGGTGTTCTGTGTAGCGTACTTGGGGACAATGTTTCTGCGTATTTCCTAGCAGCTTTTACCCGGGCCCACATAATAGATGTGAAACCCAACTCCACACTGGGGGAGTGGAGCGCCCTGCGTCACATGGCGAATGGCCAGGCTCTGCTCTCATCTCGAGGAGGTTTGCTGGCCCCAGCCTCGCCCAGCACACCCTCTCGGCCTGCCCACTGAGCCACCTTCCATTCCAGTCTCTCCTTCCCCGACCTCATGCCCAGAGGAGGCAGGCACCTCACAGTGGCGATCCCCTGGAGCTGACCCCTCCCCTTCTCTGCCTGTTGCTGGCCCTTAGGACACACCAACTGCCTCTCCTCTCTCTGGGCAGAAGCAGGATGGTGTAGGAAGTTCCCCTTCTCTTCAGTAGCCCCACCAGCTTTCCCCCAGGCACAGCAGGCCTTGCATTTGCACAGCCAATGGTTCTGGCACCCCTCCCTTCACAGGAGGCCCTGTGGACACTGTGTATCGGTCTCTGTAGGCTCAGCATTCACACTAGGAGAGGGTGAGACAGTGACCCCAGCAGCTGCCTGCAGACTGCCAGCTGGGAGCCCCACCTCCCCCATCCCTGCGCCTTGGGCCAGCCCGGTTTTGTGCACCTCGCACCTGGGCACTTTCTCAGGCAGCCAGGCCCAACCCAGAGGGGATGGGGGAGAGCTGGGATCCAGAGGACCTGGTCCAGGCCTTTTGATTGGCTTCCACCCAACACTCCAGTTTCCTTGGCCAAGCTTTTCTTTAGCTTTGTTGTCCCTGGGGCCTGGGAGGAAAGAGAAGGGACCTAAGGATCTGGCTCCTGAGGACAGGAAGGGGCGGCACTTGTCCTGGTAGAGGAAAACCAGAAGCTTCCCCAGGGGCCTGCCCAGGCAGAAGGGGGGGGCCAGGACTTGCGAGGAGACTGACCATAATTTCATGTGACGGGACAAATGTTTGTTGAATATCTGCTATGTGCCAGGTATTGCGGGAGGGAGGCACCTCTCTGTGCTGGCTCTTGAGGACTGTGCAGTGTGCTAGAGAAGGAAGGGTATGCACGCACATGCTATTACCCATGTTCGGTGTGAGTGCTGCAGGACCGAGGAGAGGTGGCCAGAGCCCTCCACCCCCAGAAGGGCCGTCTGGGAAGGGAGTGAGCCCCACATCATTTGGAGAAGTCAGGCAGAGGTCGGAAGCTGTGGACCAGGTCTTTAGAAGGGATTCCTGCCTGGCCAGCGTGGTTCAGTGGTTGAGCATGGACCTATGAGTCTGGAGGTCACAGTTCGATTCCCAGTCAGGGCATATGCCCGGGTTGTAGGCTCCATCCCCAGTAGGGGGCTGGCAGGAGGCAGCCGATCAATGATTCTCTCTCATCAATGATGTTTCTATCTCTCTCTCCCTCTCCCTTCCTCTCTGAAATCAGTAAAAATCTTTTTTTTTAAGTAAAGGGATTCCCGTATGGAGCAGAAAGGTACAATAGCTGATGGCTGAGACCGCCACCCGCCTCCCAGTCCTCTAACCTTGAGTCTCCCTGTTTGCTGCTCAGTAAACTCAAGGAAGACAAAGTTGACAAGTGAAGTTGAGTGTCAGGCCTGCAGCTGCTGGCCTTAATGCCATCGTAAACAGAACTGGTTCTCACACCTTCACCCCGACAGCTCCCCTCAGTGGCACAGGGTGCCCGGCAGGCTAGGCCAGGGTAAGCCCTGGTCTCCCCGGGAGCCAGAATTCTCCTAATCGCGTTAGAATGAGCACCCCCTCTACAAGCAGGGGCAGACCCTCTGAACCGAGGCTGGTCAGCTCTCGGCTCTGCTCTAACTTCTAATCATTGTCATAAGCGGGAGGGAAGCAGCTGCTCGCTCCAGTCTATTATCAGCTTGGTTGGAGACAGAGAAATTTAAATGACAGTAAGATGCTTAGCAAAGAAACGCAAGTCGGTGTTAAAAATAAAGAAAACAAGACAGCTTGTTTCATCGAAATGGAAGGGTTATTAAACAGCCCTGAATTAATCAGTGATCTGCCAGGGGTTGGAAATTGAAGAGCGGCAGGGCCAGGGTAGCAGGGAGGACGTGAGTGGGGGGTTTGGTGGGGGGAAGATGGCACGTTGGAGCTGCCTGCTCGCTGGGGCCACCAGCAGGGGCTAAGGAAATGTCATAGTCTTTAGAGGGGTGGTGGACAGCCAGTGTTCTGCCCCACGGATAGGAAGGGGGACTCTGGCACCCCAGCCTCTCTCCCTACAACGTCCTGCTTCTGGGCTCTTTCTATCTGCCATCTCCTGAGCAGCCCCGGGGGCCAACTCCAGTCCTCAGCCCGTCCCAGCCCTCCTTCCCACCAGTCAGGTCTGAGTAGGAGCCGAATGGCCTTTGCCTCTCTCACAGGGGGTCCCCAAGAACCCAACTCTGAGCTGAGCTCCTAATCCCCACCCCGAATCCCAAAGAGTCTGTCCTGAGCAGGGGCAGAGCCTTACCCAACCGGAGCAGAAAGCGATGGCTAGGGTAAGTGATCTCTCCTTGGAGGTGTCAGGTGGTGGCCCTACAACTCCAGGGGGCAGTGAAGCAGGGTGATACGTTTAACTCCAGGAGCCCACGTCCAAGTCCTGGTTTCACACCTGGTGCCTTTGCCAAAATACTTCACCTCTAAGACACCCGAGACTTCCCACCTGTGAAAAGTGACGCTGATGCTGTTCTGTCCCTCACTGGCTTGGGTGGGGGGTGCATTCATCAGGAAACATACATGAAATTTGTAGCGAACAGTGAAACTCGGTCACTGCACAAATGCTAGTGTGTGTTACAGGGGGCTCCCTTGGGGCCTCAAAACTAGCCATGGGGCAGGGCAGGGGCAGCGGGGGCTTCAGGGGGCACTGAATGTGTCTGGGAGGAGAGCTGACTTGCTTACCCCTCCGCAGGGGTGGGGGCTGAGGCGGGGGGCAGGGCCCCATGTCTGTGTGCACATCAGCACCCATCCCACCGGGTGTGCGACGTGCTGGATCTTGATTCAATCATTCCAGGAGCATTCGGCGTTGCTCTTTGACCTCAGCATTCTTTCCCCTCAGCCCTCCCTCCCTCCTGTGTCCCTCCTGGCTGTTTACCCCTTTGCAGTCCTCTCTCACACCCCATTCATCATGGGCCAGATTCCCACTCAGGGAGATCTTTTCATCTCTCTGCCCCAGGTGCCCTGCTGCACTGGCCACCGCCTCCCCCTGCATTCCCTCCAGCACATTCTTCCCCTGTGTCAGGCTCCGGTAATTGCTCCCTTCACTTTCCCTGGGCTGCAGGGCTGGGGTCCCAGACATCAAACATCTCTTCTGCTCTGCTGGCTCACCCAGGGCCGATGCCGCTCCCGGTGCAGGCGCAGGCCAGTGTACGTGCATCTTGGCACAGCCTAGCTCCTAAGCCAGGACAGAGCTCTGCCCCTCCATCGGGAGTGCCAGCCACCCAGCCATCTCCATGGGTCGCTTTTATCCAGCCCCGCAGCACTTGCCCTGCTGCGGCGTGTGACTGAGCTCCCCTGTCACTTCACAGAGGCTGCTGACGGCTCAGGATCTGTTCTGCAAGAGCTCAGAGTTCCAGAAAGAGAGAAAAATAATAGAAACCGAAGGTGGGGCGGTCCAGGGCGGGGACACAGGCTGCTTAAAAAAGCTCCCTCATAAAAAAGGAGTTAGCTTTTGATTCGAAGGCTTGGCTGTCGGTTCAGAAAAGCACCGGAGAGGAGGAGAGGCAGGAAAGGATAAGGCAGGGGAAGCTCATCCCAGGAGCTGGCCAGACCCTGGATGGGTAGAGCCCAAAGGATGCGGAGCTCCGGCCCGAGAAACTGTTCTCGGCATCTCCTCCTCCGGGGGAAGGCCTTCCTCTCTCCTCCTCTCCTCCCGCTTCCCTGTCAAGGGTCCCTGGAGGAGTCACAAGAGCAGCAGAAGGGGGGTAATCTGAACAGTGTGGGGCCGAAGGGACTGGGGAGAATGGCTGCTAGGGACCAGCAGCACCCAGTTCCTTCCCACCATCCCTAGGAGCTGGGGGCTGGGCGACCACATTCCCCGGCACAAGAATCTCCCCTCACCTGGCTGAAACGGAGCCCCCAGCCTCTGTTGCCATCATATGGGGCTGCTGCCCTTGCCAGGGAGATGATTTCCTTGAACCGTGTTTCTCCAAAAACAGGAATGCGAGTTGTTGGTGTTTATTCAGACCTGCAGAGTTTACAGAAAAAACACTTTCACATCCATCATCTCGGTGATTCTCACCACAACCCTGCGAGGTGTCCTTTTGTGACTGAGGGAACTGAGGCTCCGAAAGGTTAAATAACAATTCAAGGTCATCAAGTGAAAGTGATAGGGCAAGACCGGGGCCCGGTCTGTCCCGAAGCCCAGAGTCTGCTCTGTGCACCCACTGCCTGGCTACATGCACCAATGCAAGCCTGGCCTGGTCAGCGAGCCCTGTTCTGAACACTTCCTGGGGAGTCTCACCCACCCCACTCTGCTCCTGACCGCTTCCTGCTGTCCGTTGACCGTTTCATATCACATACTTCCATGTGACCTATGATATTGTACGATTTGTGGCTTCAGGGCTCTCTTGCCAAGACTCTTCCTGCACAAGCCCAGTCTGCGTTGGGCAGTTTTCAAAGGCAGACGGGTGTCTTCCCGTTCTCCATCCTTCTCCCCACCTCACCCACCTGGCCAGTGAGACTGCCCTCCACCCTGTGGCTTCAAGAGGAATAATCGGCAGGATCCTTCCCAAACGGTTCGCTGCCTTCTTCACTTCCAA